ACCATGTTTAATATAAAAAGTATATTGAATGAAACAATATTCTACAAGAATAAAACCACAAATATATTTACTAGTTTCTTGTTGACTTTTTGTCATTCTGACAGAATAAAATCGGTTATTATTAAAAGTAATATTAAAATTTAATTAGAATTAATTTAAAAAATTCAGATTTTTTAAAAATAAGAGAATTAATGATCCCTTAAAATCCGAAATTTTCCTTTTTTAAATAAGGTTAATTGACCAAAATACCATTTTGCTTAAATTTGTGTGATTATATGATACATACTACCTTATTGTATAGACCCTCAGATCATGATTGTTGATTCTATTCATCCGGTGGTCCAGATCTATGCATTCTAACTCATATATATATATATATATATATATATATATATATATATATATATATATATATTAAAAATGTTCAAAGTTAGGAATAGTAAAGTTATATATATATTTTTTTGTCAATTTTGCCTCTTATTCTTTTGCCATTTTGACACTTTTGGTCCTTGCAATCAAAATTTTTACATTTTTTTGGAACCTTTAATATTTAAAGTTTGGCCACAAAACTTTAAGAAATTGACAACTTTGGTCCCTTTTTTAAAAACTTGCTAATTTCAACCCCTTTAATTGTTTAGCCATTTTGACACTTTTGGTCCTTACAGTCAAAACTTTTACATCATGTTTTTTGTCAACTTTGTCCCTCATTCTTTAGCCATTTTGACACTTATGGTCATTGTAATCAAAATTTTTACATTTTTTTAACCTTTTAATATTCAAAGTTTGGCCATAAAACTTTAAGGAATTGAAAATTTTGGTCCATTTTCTAAAAACTTGGTAATTCCAAACCGTTTAATTCTTTAGCCATTTTGACATTTTTGGTCCTTGCAGTCAAAACTTTTACATTTTTTCATAAAAAACACAAAAAATGGCCCGGGGCAAAGCCCGGGTTTTTTCGCTAAAAGAGTCAACAACAAGTTACGAATAGTGAAACTCACGTTTTTTTACTATTTTCATCCTTGCACTTTCTGTGTCTGTCATTTTCTTCTTTTTGTATATTTTTTCTATATTGGTCCTCATATTTAACTTTTTTTTGTTTTTTTCCTGCCCTCTATCTATCCGTCTCTAACTGTTTATCCGTATGAAAATAATCCAAAGTCAATTAAAAGAATCAACAAAGACGCCTATTAATCTATAAACAAAAACGACACTCAAATCAGACGCACACGACCCATGCGGAGCATGAGCAACATATCTAGTTGAAAAATGATAGTTTTTTTGGGGAGTATTTGGCAAAAGTAACTGTCAGCAGGTAGTTGATAGCTGTTAGCTGGTAGCTGGTAACGGGTAGTGGGTAGTTGGTAGCTGGAAGTTGTAGTTTTTATTTGTTATATGAGTGTTTGACAAAAGTAGGTAAAAACTTTTGAATTATATAAAATGACAATTGTTTAAAACAATTAAATATATAAATACATTTTAAAGGGCAATTCTGGAAATTGATTATAAAAGTTCAGTAGCAGTTTGTTAAATGCTACATGAAATAGCTTTTAGGTTTGAAGTATTTTATTTAAACTAAAAACTAAACGTTCGTACTACTAAACGAAACTTTTTGTTAAAACTAGAAGCTAGAAGCTCCCAAACGCTTTGTGCGAAACAAACATTTTGTCCAAACAAGTGGCATGTTATATAACAAAATAACATAAATTATTGATATTTATTTTATTAAGTTTATTTATATTTATTCAGTTAACCTTTAATTAAAAATGTGAAGTAAGGTTCTTAAAATCTGAATCCTACTTAGTATCGTTTTATATTTTGCAAGATCGTGATTGTAAGATTTTACCAAAAGATACACATATTCAAATTTGCTCGCAAGGTCTTCGATGTTCAATATACGTTATAATGTTGATTAAGACGTCGATAATGGAATTAAATCTAACCTCTTCATCACGAACCTTAGTTTTTGTTGTTGCAAACCACAAAAATTAAGAAGAAAACATCTTAATTAGAAAGAGAAACAAGATCATTATGATCATGTACAAATAACGAGATAAGATCACAAAAGAAATATAATGAGCGTGCGTTGCCTACTTCGATATGAATCGGTGAAGTGATGATACTTTATGAGATCTATGTTGCTCGGTTTCATATTGAATAGACAAATTTTTGAGGCTCAATTATACAATAAAACTAACTAGGTGAGATCGGATCGAGTTACGATTTTAAGCTCATAGTCCTAATAATAAGATCCAAGTATTAATCTTACTTCAAATAGTTCCTAGTGTAACTGAGATCATTTTTTTCTTGTAAGATCCTAAAATCGTAAAATTAAGATAGAGATCTTAACAATCATGTTGTAGACACCAAAATTAACTGAATGGTAAACACACATACATATATATATATAGATATATATATATATATATATATATATATATATAGATATATATATATATATATATCTATATATATATATATATAATTTGTATGTTAAGAATATATTAATTTGTTTTTTTTTGTAAATTAATATATTTATGTTAATATATTATTAAATATTTTGTTAAGTAGAAGTAATAATAAAATATTTTTATAAAAATAAATAAATAATTGTTGATGTGTTTGTAGAGACATAACACTATGATCTAAGACCAACTTTAATGGTCATCTAAAAATCACCATTTTGATGTCATTTAGAGCATCTCCAACCCATCGTCAAACTTCATTTTTTTCTCTCATTTCTTTCCTTATTTTCCTCTCAACCCTACCCTATTTATATCTCTATTTTGGGAGATATGAATATTATTCCACCAAATATGGAGGAACACTATTCATTCTTCCAGAATAGAGTTGAAGATTTAGTTGCCCCTCTCTTTTTTATTCCACCATATTTAGTCCCTTTCTTTTTTATTTATACATTTCTAGTTTATTTTTATCTAATAATTATAATTTAAAAGTAATATTTAATATTTATAATAATTTGTTACAAATTAAGTTATATTAATTAATTATAAATATAAAGTTTGTTTTTTGTGTATCAACATATTGAAATTTTAAAACACGATAACATATTTAAAAAAAAACTTATAATTAAAATATATATTACAAACAAGAAAACATATGATGTTAAACATCTAGTTAACCAATATATTACAATAATATTCTAATAAAAAACGACAAATAACCTTACTATTAGCCTAGTAATCAGGTAAACAAGATCCAGATCCCCAAGGTTATTAAAATTTATTCCTTACAATGAAGATGTAAGAAGAGTTTGTTGATAATGTTTATTTAAAAGTTTGTATTTGTAATATTTATATAGATACATGTATAATATTTATTTAATTATAAGTGTTTTATAAATATAATCTTACTTATTTAATATTATTGTAATGAAAAAATTATAGATTATATATATATATATATATATATATATATGTGTGTGTGGTGGTGTGTGTGTGTTAAAAGTTAATTAGTAGGAGTGTATTTGAATATATATATATATATATATATATATATATATATATATATATATATCTATTGCAAAATAGAATATACTACGAATATATATTTTTTGTGGTAAAAAGTGGAGTAAAAAATGAAGGATTGTTTGAGATGAAACACTGTATACCCCTATTTTTATTCTATTTGTAAGGAAAACATAGAGATGAGTTTGAGATGGTTTTCACATGTTGAATAAGTTTAGATTTCAAATAAAGATACCAGAACATTTACCATTAAAAAACAAAATTTTATATGTTTGCGATTGGAATGCAATCATCATTTTATTGTTAAAAATGCACGATTTATGATTTTGTGTTCGATAATTGGAATTGGTATAAGCCTTTAATGTTTGATGGTTAAAGTTGGTCTAAAACCACATGCGTGGTGCGGATTTGGCAAATCCTAAGTGAAGTAGCCAACGTGTGTCTTTCACCTTGACCAGTTGACCACCCTTCTACGGCGCGAGTTTTTGACCAAAGTGGTGTATCCTATAAAAATATTTACAAAAAGGTATATTTTAAAAAATATTTACCAAATAAGGTAAATTTGTAATTTAATAAAAAAGAAATGAATGTTCATGCCCTAACTCCTCAGCACCTACATCAATAGTCAGATTTTGTTACATTTGCCTCGTATTCTTGATGTTAATGACTATATCGGGGTATCCGGTGTTGCCTTCCCTATTTGAGGTTGAGGGTTTAAGTCTCGTTGTAGACATAGGTGGATTTAAGGTGTAGTTTAGGAGTATGTTAGATTTGTCGTTTAAAAAAAAATGACTATATCATTATAATTGTTTTCAAAGTCCATGAAAATTACAACGATTGATTGGACACATACCATTCAGTAATGTCTATTGAATAGTTTGTTTCATTGACGTGAGTTATTCTTGTTTGCGCTTCTGTTCTAATCTCAATTGCAGGTAGTCTTGTTGGATTTAAAATTCAGTTGCATTGAAGGGGTTCAAGGTTTCAATGTTGTCTCCATTGTGTTTGCTTTCTTCTACCGGTACCTTCAAAGGACATGAGTTTTATTGGTCTTCTGAAGGGATATAGCTATCTTTCTTATCCTGTCTTGTTTCATCCCTGTTGGCGTTATCTTTATTTTAAATTCATGTGTAGTTGTTTCCTTATTTTCATGTTTTTTAATCTGTATTCTGTCATTTTCTTTTAATAAAAGTTCTTATTGCTAAAAAAATTATTTGGATTCAAAAAGTTGTTAGTGATGATGAAATAAAAGGTAAAAATATTGTTTGTAAATTGATAAAAATTAACAGCAAAAAGTTTAAAAAAAAAGTTTTAAAAAATATGAATTTTTGAAAACTACACCTATTTAATAAATAAAATTTTAAAAAACATTTGTTTGGTCAAAGAGCCTTCATTACTTCGAGCCTTGGAGTTGATACAAATTATTTGAGCTGGGGTGCAATCCGTAAGTGCTTATTATTGCCTATATATAGAGCACACGCAAACACCTTATGGATCATCCCTCTCATTTTTCAAATGGCCTCTTACATGAATCTTCTCTCAGATCCAATCATCATAACAACAGTGACACCATTATTTTTACTCCTTGTTTTCCTATATGTCTACAAGCAACAACAAACAAATGGGAGGAAATATTATCCGGTTGGGGGGAATGTTTTTGGCATACTCATTAACTTCAACACGATGCATGATTACATGGCTCATCGAGCAGAAAAATACAAAACTTACAGAATGCTTAGCCCTTTGCATCGTGAAATTTTTACAATTGATCCCGTGAATGTGGAATATATACTCAAAACGAATTTCAAAAATTATGGAAAGGTATGTGTCGCTAATTCGAAATTATATATAGTTTCACTTTAATATTAATTAATGATTCATAGTGTTTAATTGTTGCCAAGCTAACTGTACTCTTTTTTAGTAATTGGTAAGTGAGTTTTATATAAGTGGGTGGAGGGATGGCACATGAGCCAATGATGCAGTTTTCTGATTTTTTTTTATACTATTTGTATATCTACCATTTAAATAGATATTGCCATGAACTATATATAACGTTCCTCTTGTTTAGTTTCGCTTACACACTGAAATGTTAAAAGTATGCTATATATATATAGGGAACATATACCCGCGACATTCTAAAGGAGCTACTTGGTGATGGAATATTCACAGTCGATGGGGACAAATGGCGAGAACAGAGGAAGGTTTCGAGTCATGAGTTCTCTACGACAGTCTTAAGAGATTTTAGTAGTGTAATTTTCAGAAACAATACAATAAAACTGGGGAACATATTGTCAGAAGCAGCAAACAACATGCAAATAGTCGATATAAACGTAAGTTACTCCTTTGCGCACTATTATTTGATATGATTAACCCTCAAGAAACTCATTGATTATTGCCATTTGATAGATATCACAATATTCATGATACACATGTATATATACAGGATTTATTCTTGAAGACAACCATGGATTCAATATTTAATGTTGGTTTTGGGATTGATCTTGATAACATGAGTGGTTCTAGTGAAGAAGGTGTCAGATTCAGTCGTGCATTTGATGATGCGAACACCTTAACATATCGAAGATTTGTTGACGTATTTTGGAAGATAAAGAAATATCTGAATATTGGCTCCGAAGCGGAGTTGAAGAAAACTATACAAATCATTGATGAGTTCGTTTACAAGTTGATCCAGATCAAGACCGAAGAAATGCATAAGACAAAGAATGAGCATTCAGTCGTAAGCTTATATTTTCTTAACCATATTAGAAGACTGCAAACCAACTTAATGTTTTTAAGGCTTGTTGAACAGATCATTGAGTTTACCATATAAGTGTGTTGGCATAAATCATGAAGACAACTATTAGATCACATTTCTTTTACATATAAAAAAAATCATATACTGTATGATGATATTGACGTAATATATATGGTAGCTACCTAGAAACATATTTTGCTCTTCTAATTCACTGTTTTGACCACCTTGTTTTACTTAATATGCAGTTCATAAAAAAGGACATCCTATCGAGGTTTCTGCAGATCAAAGATAAAGACCCAAAGTTCATACGAGATATAATACTAAACTTCGTACTTGCTGGTAAAGATCCCATAGGGCTTACTATGTCTTGGTTCATTTACATGCTTTGCAAGCATCCTGATGTTCAAGATAAGGTTGCAAAAGAAATCAAAGAAGCAACGAACGTAAAAAAAGATATCAGAAATGTTGCAGATTTTGCTGCCCATGTGAGTGAACTTGCGCTTGGGAAGATGCAATATCTTCACGCAGCTTTGACAGAAACTATCAGACTCTATCCCGCATTGCCATTGGTATGCAATCTTGTTCATGACTTGTTTAATTTATGATAAGTTGATTACTATTTACCAAGTAGGAGCGCTTTTCAACATCCATGGTGGTGTTATGTTAGGGAACACGAACAACAAGCAACACACACACACAAATACACATGTAAGGCAAGAGTAAATGGAGAACACAAGTTGAAACTATTTGATACCCGTACGACCACTGCAATTAAATATTATTGATTAATATGGATACATACACGGTTTATAATTACATAAATTAAGGTTCTATAAACAAGGTTTGGTACAATTGAGCCAAAGATCTATCCATGTTCCTTCATGTTGTTTGTTGAAGTTTTGGCTACTAGATGTACACTGTATCTCATCTTAATTGGTAGATAAGGAACATTTAATCACACTATCAAAACCACATGCATCTTAGTTTGAATTTTACCCATGATATCCTAATAATATGGAGATGACATGATGCATGTTATTTATGTAGGACCCAAAGATATGCTTTTCAGATGATGTTCTACCAGATGGTGGTATTGTGAAGAAAGGGGATATGGTATCGTATCTGCCATATGCAATGGGGAGGATGAATTTCGTATGGGGTGACGATGCACTTGAGTTTAAACCAGAAAGGTGGCTTGATGACAATGGTTGCTTCCATCCAGAGAGCCCCTTCAAATTTACAGCATTTCAGGTTAGTGTATTTCAATTTCACAAGAAAAAGTTACAGCTTTGAATATGAAAGGTATACTAATGTAACATCATTGTGCTGGAATTTTTAACTATTTTTGCCAAACATATCCATGATTACCTTTCTTTCTTTTCATATCACATCCACAATACACTACTCTTCATACAACTTTACTATAAATTTCGCATTGAATTTCACAAAGTTTAATGAAATATATATATATATATATATATATATATATATATATATATATATATATATATATATATATATATATATATATATATATATATATATAGGTAAAACCATTTTTCAAACATCCATGCATCCAATAACATATTTGTAAAAAATATGCTGATTTATAGAAAAATTTCTATAATGTAAATTTCAACAAATATATTACATAAGTAATTTTTGCATGTATCAAATTAATGGTAACTTATTTTTATTAGATTTGCTTGAGTTGTCGATACTCACTAAATTAGAGGTCGCTATAGCTAGTTTGAAGCTTATCCTCATTCATACAAGTGAGTTGCAAACATAAATTTATTAGAGAGTAACTACAAGAGTATATTTAATTTTAGTGCTTCCACGTAAATTGACGGATCTGGATTTACTTTTGTCGAGGGCACAATGAGATGTCATACGGAAGTGTTATGAGTTATAAAATTGGACTATATAGAAAAATATACTAGTGGCAAAATTAATTTAGCTCGGTTACACATGCAATTATTCATGGTTATTTTATTATTTTCAATTAACCAAACAACGCTAAAAGGAAAAACGTATAAAAAATTGGTAGCAGTGTTACATGCATGTTTTGAAACTATGACTTCTCTTGAATATGACAAGATAACCATACAAAGGAAAGGTAAGACGATGTATTTTATTGGTACCACTACCCCTAATGATATAAGTATAGAATAATAGAATTTTTGTTTCACAAACATGATATATTTTCTATAGGCCGGTTCAAGTCGATTCGAGGTCCAAAACAAAATGATAAAAAGGAGAACTTTCAAAATCAAGAAATCTATAATCGAGTAACTAAATTTGACATATATATATATATATATATATATATATATATATATATATATAGATATATATATATATATATATATATATATAAATAAAGTGGTGTTAGAGTTAAATACCAAATCCCATACAACTGCTAAAAACATAAATAAATAAAATAAACTAACAAACCAAAACAAAAAATCCAAACAGCTAAACCATTTTAAAAAAACCATCGGTTTGGTTTTTGGGTTTTAAAAACTAATTTTTTATGTTCCTTTGTTTATATAAAACCCAAAACTTAGAACCGAACATTTAATTATTCAAATATATCCTTCTATATATAAATTTAAAAAGTTTCCTTCCATCCCAAAATTATTGTTTACAGACAAAAAACATACAGATTAAAGAAGTATTAATTATCACTAACTTTATACAATAAAATGACATTTTTGTCCTTACTTTGCATTTAATGTTCAATTAAATACTTAGTTGGTTAAGTAATAGTGAGGGGTATTTTGATAAAAATATTATTTATTTTTAGAAGTAGACTATTACTTTGGGACAAATCAAAAAGAAAAGATAGACTATAATTTTATGACGGATTGGTATATACTTAAACATAAACATAAAAGTATTTATTGAAAGTTACACGTAGCTACCAATTCAAACGACTCTTTTTATCTTAAATAGATATATACATCTTAATTAGAATTATGAAGAAAAAATAATAATTTTTAGAAACCAAGTGGCAGGCCCAATAAAGTTTGAAAGACTCCATGTATTAAAACTTTTATCACTTTGAGAAAAAAAAATAAAATACTAATTGGGGGGAATCGAACCAGTGTTTATTGGTAAAACACAACCACCTCCTAAAAGGCCAAGCACCTAAACTAAACACAGTTAACCAAATTTTTTGACATATTTCAAATATATACAATCTAGAGCGAAATTAATTTTTGGGCCCCAAACCGTGATTAGGCCCGAGGCCATGGTGCAACTTGACCCCTACTGGGCCAGATTTTCTGACATACATAATTTCTTAATTAATCGAGACATGTTAAATTTCCAAGTTATCATCCCAGATACGAACATGTTATGTGATGCATAAATTTATTTATTTATTTTGTAGATGTGAACATCTCATGTAATGTATTCATGTTTTTTTTTCTTAAATGTGTAATTAGTTTAAATAGAAAATACTATTAGTTAGTTAAATTATTTTTTATCATTAATCATCGGAATATATTATGTTATAAATTTCTACAATAAAACTAATCCTTGTATTTTTCTTGTTCATACATAGGCTGGGCTGAGGTCATGTTTGGGTCAAGATTTCGCATATAGGCAAATGAAGATATTCTCATCTATCTTGTTAGGTTGTTTCGTATTCAAGTTGAGTGATGATAACAATATTTCAAGATACAGAACCTCGATTAATCTTCACGTCGATGGTCCATTGCAAATTCGTGTTTTCAACAGATTTGATTTACCCAATCCATAAAGTTAAGATGCAAGTTTGTGTATGACAAATGCTCAATAAAACATGACATATGACCAGATTGCGTATGACCATAGTTGTGTAAAATCGTAATTGCATTTGTTAAATAAAATATAAGGGTGTTTAGTATAGAAAAATGAAGCTACTTTAGGTGCTGTATTAGACAGTGAAAAATAGGCACAATGTAGCATTTTACCTGGTCATTTCTTGTGTAATATCGTATTAGGCCTAATGTAACGGTTTTATCATTATATGCATCATGGTTTATTGGTTTTGAAGTATTTCATATATTTTCTAGAGGCAAACACTTTGAATGTGCAATACCTTTTATACCAATTGCAACATGTTTTACATCATGTGAAACACTTAAAAAGTTTATTCGTAATCTATGGCAACACTTTCATCTATCAAGTGCAACACGCTCTTTATAAATGCATTACTTTCATCATCTATTACAACATGTCACTATTAATTATAATATTGAATTTTAGTGACAAAAAATATATTGCAATTAAATATCATTTTGAAATTAAATAATGCAATAATATTCCTTCTAAAATTCATTTAATATATTAAAAGACTTAAATTTAAAATTCATTCAATACCAAATGACTTCTAGTCCAAGCAGTATTCAGTGTTGCATTCTTTCTTGAGGTTGATGATTCAAGTCCCGTCATGGACATATGTGGATTCAAGGAACAGTTTAGAAGTAAGTTAGATTTGTTGTTTTTTTTTAAATCTAATCGTTTAATACAATCTATAAAGTATTTTCGCATCGTAATATAGAAAATTGTATCTTAACATTAAATACGAGATTCCTATTGTTTACTGTTGGAAAATCTGTAATACGATAAGAACACAATATCTATATCCATCTTATCCTAACATTTTTTTTTGTTTTATGCGAATATTAACAGTTTAACACTCTTGAACTTGAGAACCACCACCATAATAACATTTAACGTATTTCCAACTATTTCACGGAGGGGAAATAGTGAAATACTCTCACTACCGGCAAAGAACCATTAATCTCCAATAAGTTAATCGCATGTTCACTCATTTTGATTTCCTATTTGGTTTATAGATTTAGTTGTTTGTGTTCAAACCAATACATGACTTACCAACACAGATATCAAATTAATTAACAAAAGAGCATTAATATTAGTTGTCAGGATTAATGTACGTGCATAAGAACACACCTGCCATATTACCAGTGACGGAGCTTGAAGTTATGATTTGGGGGCCGAAAATAGAATACGTATAAAAATTGAAGAACAGGAGGGGCCAAAGTCAAATTTTATAGTTTTGGGCATAATATGTAACCTTTTCAATACTTATGGACTATATATAAAAAAAATTAGGGGGGGCACAGCCCCCCCTGGCCCTATATATGCTCTGTCCATGCATATTACAAAGTTCATATTGATGTCAACCCATGGCTTCATTGGCACAGTTAACAACATATATAGTCCAACATTTATTGTCATGTCCTTAACATTTGACAAACACGACACCATTGTACAAACTTCTCGATTTTGCTACTCGTCCTGTTAAAATCCTGATTTTGTTTTTGTTTTTTTGGTGTTAAATTGACAATTGTAATTTTTATAGTTTAATATTTTCATTCCTATTTTAACACAAAATATGTAGATAATACACAATTTAATACAGTCTATTGTAGTTTAATAAACAAAATTCACAACTTAATACAATACATTTTACACTAATTCAAAGATTCAGAAAAGTCAAACTCAAACTCTACCACCACCACCAACTACCATACACTACTACAAAGAGGCGCATAGGACTCGTTATAAAAGACCCGGTTGTTGAAAAAACCAGGTTCTATTGTGCAAAAATCGGGTTTAATGAAGGGAAAGGTCATATGACCCTGTTTCTAGTAATGATCCGGGTCTTATTTTATATCTAAATAACCCAATTTCTAATGATATAACCGAACCTTTTAGCATACACTAATATAATCCAATTTTTAGAAGAAAACCGTGATTTATGAAATCCTGGACACAAATTATAAGAGGCTCATAGAACCCGTCTTCCAATAACCGGGTTTTTTGAAGCTTAACATATCATGCAACAAAATCACAAATGACATATATATTGTACATCCTCTCAACTTTTCATTAGATGCCCTATCTTCAAAACCAAAACTAGTAAAAAAAAATATCTATTTTAGAACTTAACAATTACCATAAAATCACCACGCCTCACTCTAAAAAAATATAAGATTATCACCAAAATAAAATACCAATTTCAAAGTTTAACATATCATGAAACAAAAATTAAAACTTTTAAGCTTATTAAACAATGATAAAGTTATTTTGGAGGATAATTGCCATTACTTCCCGGTATTATTAAGTTTATCACATAGATTATATAAGAGGAAGAATAAGGCATTTATAACTATATTAACATAAGAGACGAAAACAAAAAACAACTTGATATGTATATTTTATCCAGTTAAGTGTTTACTTTTGATGGCTTTACATTTCCTCTGCAGTTCCGCTCAGTTAATGATAACATTGTCAACAGAAGTTTATTGTTAATTTGTCATGCATAAAATAGAGATGCACAATAGAAATAAGGAGACTCTAAGCTACAAGACAAGTGTTGGTATTCTCTTGAGTACTTTAAGACACTCTTGGAGGAACACGACGAGAGGGGATCAGCGGAAATCGGAAATGGTGGAGATTTTTGGAGCCATTGGTGTCACAAGGTGGAAAGTCGGAGAACTGGAGCGACTCACCCATTGAAAATAATGAATGTTTGATCAATATCAGTCACATTGTGGATAGGAAAAGGTGTGAATAGTTGATATCTGGTTGGACTTGTGAGACAGAAATGCAAATAGGGAAGATTAGAAGAGGGGATTGACTCTCCGTGAAGGATTTCCAAATGAGATGATTGTTTTGGCCCTTGGGGAGGAGAGTAGTGGGGTTATATGCGAAAGAGGAGGAAGTATAAAAGACATGGAGTTATAGGGTAGATGTTGATTATTTTTGGCAGAAATTAGCGGAAGTAATCCCACTTTCCTGTCAAAAATATATGGAGCGATATATTTTAGTGGAGTAAAAGCTTTGTCTCTGTTTGTAAAAAAAATTATATTCATACGCATTTATATTGGACTTGGGAGGCTATTTTTGTCGATATCTATAGATTAACTTACATTTATATTTAGTTTTTCACTTTACCAAAAAAATGAATGAAAAATTCATTTTATTGTAAAAACCAAATCAAAATAATAATTAAGTCGATACATTGCCTAATTGGTTTATGTAACATCCTGAATCCCAGGTATAATATTTATTTATTTATTTATGAGATGATTGAGCAACTCGACGAGTTGGATAACCCAACTCGTCGAGTAGAGACGGATTGGCCATGTGGGTTTTATGACCAACTCGACGAGTTGGCGATGTGAGAGGAAACCCTAAATCTCCGGGTTTTGGTCCTATTTAAAGGAGCTTAAGCCCTCATTTACGCCTCACCGGCCACCTTACTCCCCTATGTGAAACCCTAATCGTCCATATTGATCTAAGAGAGAAAGAGAGCTAATCTTTGGGCATTTTAGTACACTTTTGGAAGAGAAGAGAAGAGTATCGTGAAGACTTTTTACCTTCAATAGAAGCTCTAGATGAAATCACACCAGATCCAACAGTCTCTTCTCGTTCCTCGCTCATTAGTTTGATTAGATCTCATTTTATGGAGTTTTAGGGCTTATTCCATCTATCATTGAGGCTTTGAGTGTGTTGAGCTTACCAAGAGATTTAGACTTCAGATCTGGACCTTGTGAGGTCCCTAGACTCCAAAGGTCCCAACTTTATCCAGCTAATAGAAGAGCTTTCATGATTAAGACCCTAAATGGAAGATGTTTTGGCATTTCAAGCCCTAAGTGCCATGCGTGGACATAAAGCTTGCAGCTTTACGTGGTATCTCAGCCTTGGGAGGCTAGATCTAGAGTTTGGGGTTGTAAATCTGCCTTAAAACGTCTGAATGAGAAAAGGGTCTGGAGGGACTCGACGAGTTGGCTAGGGTTTTCCCCGACGAGTCTGGACATGAGTAACTCGGCGAGTTGATGAGACAACTCGACGAGTTAATTTGGGTTTTCGCAACATCTCTGAAGGAACGAGGGGACTCGACGAGTCGCGTAGTTGCACACGACGAGTCGGGTCAACATGGACTGTTGACTCGAGTGTTGACTTCTGTTGACTTTAGGGTTGGTCAAGACAGGGATTATGAAGACCATGGAGGGGTAGAATAGTCTTTTACCCATTTCAAGATATTAGAGAGAGAAAATAACTTGGTTTATTTGGAGTTGTGATTTAAGTGTTAGTTAGAGATAATTATTGTATGTGTTAGGCGGAGGATAGATCGGTGATTCGTGTATGAGGTCTATTTGCTTGCTTACTAGGTGAGTCTTCTCACTATACTTACCTTGAGTGGTAATTTTGTGTGACCGTAGGGTCTTGTGTGCTTATATTGAGTATTGTGATATCCTACATTATGTCTTGTGATTTATGTTGTGTATTATGCTGAGCTTTACTAAGTTAGGACCGGAAGGTCCATCCGAGTTGTGGGACCGAAGGGTTCCACTGAGACACATCGACCAGAGGGTCTTACTTGAGATATAGCCATGAGAGGCTAATGAGATATGTGTGGTATTTTGGGGAACTCACTAAGCTTCGTGCTTACCGTCTTATGTGTTATGTGTTTCAGGTACTTCTCAGGATCACGGGAAGGCGCCGGCTTGATTGTACACACGGGATAGAGTTTATGTTTTGAGGATCCTGGATTTTATCAAACACTTTATGAATTTGTGTTATTGACAATTTGACAGTGGTGGTTTTTGGAATGTGATATTGAGAATTTTGTGGTTTTGAAAATGAAAAATTTGTTTGAAAATTTACGGTGTTTGGTGGTTGTCGAGGCCAACAAAATTAATAACCCTAATTATTACACACTAAAATAGTGTATAGTGGTAAAGG